AAGAACTGTTACAAACATATATGATTATTCCTCAATTGATGACTCTAACTCAGTTGGCTAACAAGGCTTGCCAGTGCTGCATCCAACACAACCTCAAATAGGGACTCTGCCCCAAAACAGGACCCCAGCATCTACTCAAACTGAACTTGAGGAGACCTTCAACCTTGCCATAGTCACAAGCCAGAAACTGACTAGTCTACACACAACAAAAGCTTGAGGAGTCAACTGGACATACAGTTAATAGATGGTTGTTTCTCATGGACAATTTTCTATGGCAATGTTTAACTTCTGCCATCCATTACCTATTTCTCTTTTGGTATTATAACCTTGTTTTTGTCAATAACAATAACAGTAACTGCCCCTACAGGACAGAGCCTAAATCAAGAGGCTTTTTCTGACAATCTTTCTCTCCTACTAACAGGATGTGATATTGTTTTTGGTTGTTTCTATCCTGAGTTCCCTTTTCAAATGGCAATGCCTCATGCCAACTTTCCCAAAGTAACCTGGTGATACGTATTTGTTAGAAGAGGAGGGGGAACCTCTCCACTCCTTTGAGGAGATTCTAGACAGTCTTTCACAGGATAAAACTGGGCCCCATTGCTAACCCCCTTAACAAGCCCACTCACTGTGTAACTTTTACCACTGCTTCTAGGGCCTTATATGATAAACCTCCTTGCCAGGTTCATTCATAACTGAATAAATGTTGTTAAATTAAAATTAGTGAACAAAATACTAAGAATCTCTCTGTATAACTATCCTTAACTCAGCTAGCAAAAACACTTTGTCTTCCTTATTATGCTTATGTCTTCTCTTCAACAAAATTAGAGATAAGGGTAGAACAGGTTCCACCTGGAATTGAGGGGAGGAGGATTGGAGATGGGGGCAGGGGGAGAAGTGACTCAAACAATGTATGCACATGTGAATAAATTAATAATAATAATAATTACAGCTAGTGAGACAGTACTAAAGACTTCCCCTAAATAACTTCCACAAAAGGGTCATAAGGGATTATGATGGAGAAGAGGAGGGAATGATAAGGAAACCCAGAGAAAGATCAAAGCTGGGAAAAAAATGTCAAAGATGAGTAAAGCCCTTCCCCTTAGATGGGGCCCCTGCATCCAGCTATCTCATTAGAAACTGCTGATGGCCTTCATCCACAGCTGTGCTGACATGATATATTGTAACCTTGAACAGCTAACTGCTAAGTCTGCTTTTGCACTCCCTGTTTGCTTGCTGCTGCTTTTTTCAGTATAAAAACCTAAACCAGATGCTGGCCCACTAGCATAATAAACCTTCCTTTCCTCCAACCACCTAGGTTTGAGTCTTATTCTCGCTAGTCAGTCATGCTTTCTGTACCATTCCTGCAACAGTTTGCCAGATCCAGCCAGGTGGAGTTTATCTGTATCTCTGTTTCCGAAATGAATTAATTGCATGAGGAGGCTCATTTCTGATTCTTTGTTCCTGCCAGTTCTGGGTACAGAATGTGGGGCCATCGTCGTCTATGAAGCAGGAGAAGGAAATCAGCTCACTCACCATTGGTCATGTCCCAGCAATGATACACTTCATCCAGTAAGGCTAAGAGGGACACAGGATGCAGGAGGGACTTGAGGACGCAACTTCATCATGATGAAGAACAGGACAGTTGGGAAGTCATATAGGAGGAAACAAGAATGCAAAGTTTTAGCTCAGAGGTGTATGACACTGATGGTTTTTGTTATGTTGATGATGTACTATTAGTTTTCTTCCTAGACTGCCTCAAGGTTTTGTAGGCATCTCTTCCACACTAGCAAGAAATTGTTGCTTTTATCCTGTCTCCTAAGTATTCATGAATATTATGGTGATGATGGTAATGATGTGAGAATTTCAATGTAATTTTTCCTATATCCTGACATATAATGGGATAAACAGAGGTTTGAATCTCGACAGTGAGACTCTATACACAGGGCACCTGTTTTCTCTCCTGCCAACCGAACTTCACATTTCTCTTTCATTTTACCCCAGATAGTGGCTCCTGACCAGTGTGCTCTTCTCTTTATGTTTCTGACAGACCACAGTACAGAGCAGTAGGTGGTCTTACTGCATCAGCTACAGCAAAAAAAAGTTGAAATTATGGGAGTTGTAATAGAAGGTGTTGACACATGATAATTCCAGGCACATCTGACTCTGGCCATGTTATGGGATTTTGCCTCTGCTGCCTACTGACACCTCTATCCTTGTAATTTATCCCTTCTCTACATCTAAGGAGGACATAAATGCATGGTGTTGAGTTCAATTGCTATCCTGTGAACAGAAAAATTGTCAAAGACATGCCTTAGCATATTTGAAATAAATATTTACTATTCCACTTCAATCTTATGAAATGAGGGAACGCAATAAACATGTTCCTGCCTGGACCTTAGAGACTGAAATTTTAATTCTGATTCTCATGTGCTCTTATTTACCTGTGTGGCACTGGGAAAGTTCTTAGTATGAGGGAGCCTTGTGTTGCCACCTGAATTGTCTCCAGTTGATAAAACTCTATCACAGATAAACTGAAAATCATGGCATGGAATTTATGACTGAACAGGTGATAGATTTCTACAAGGGGAGAAGGTAAGTTTTAGGCATTATTGTCCTTATAATATTAAAAAGATATGTCCTTATAATATTAAAAAGACTAAGTACCACATCCTTCAACTAAAATATCCTATCATCTGAAGCTTTAAGTTTCCCCAGGTTACTGAAAGTCCATTTAATTTTATTGTGATGATTATCAAGATTGTTATTATTTGAAGTGTTGGAGAACAAACTTACATCTGCATAATTTCTAGGCAAGACCTCTACCTCTAGCTGCATTCCCATCTCAGACAACATTATTATTGTCCTTACTGAATTATATTCTTTTGTTGCTAATTGTTTCTTCATTTTATTTGTGTTTTGAGACCGTCTCATTATGTAGCCCAGATTGGCCTTGAACTCACAATCATCTTTCCTCATCTTCTTAAGTACTGGAATTCTAGCCATGTACCACAACACGTGATTAAAAGTACTCTTTGTTTTTAATTTTCAGTTCTGTTATGTAACCTAGGCTGTCTTTGAACACCTGATCATCCTGAAACACCTTTCCAAGTGCTGGAATTGTGGTCTGCACTTCCACACTCAGCTTAGATGTATTTTCCACACTCAGCTTAGATGTATTTTCTCAGTGCCTGCAGGTAAATAATCTGTTTATTTAATTTTTGATTCCCAGATCTTGTACCTTGCTTGGATCACTGGAAGCTATAAGACACACCATGTATGAGCTAACTGAGTGTGGTGGGTTATGCCTGTTATTGTATTAATTGGCATAATTAATTAATTAATTAATTGGTATTAATTGTATTGAGGCAGGTAGATGGCAAGCTGAGAGCAGCTTGAGCTATATAATGAGTTTCAGGCCAGAACCTGGTTACTAATTATGACTTTAACAAAAAAAAAAGAAAGAAACAGAAAAATTAAGCAAAATATTGAGTAGGATTTTCCTTGGATTGAAGAAACAGAGTGTATGCAATATGATATTATTATTGATATTGATATAGCTGTGTTTTTATTCCTTTCAGCTGTGTTCCTAGAACTACTTCCTATATACAACACAGATGTTCCATGGGATCTGTCATTTTCCACTTAATAGAATTTATAACATTCAAAAATAAAAATCATGCTGATAGCCATAAAAGTTTAAAAGAGTGACAAAATGAGAAAGTGAAATAAATCTTGCTGCAGGATCTCACCATATTTTATTTATTTATTTACTTTTCAGTTTTGTTCTGGGTGGGGGTACATGGTCACACACATAGTATATGATTTTCAGTCACTCCACGAAGAAGATCCCTGTCGTATGATTGTTTTTCTTTTTTTTTCCTGTGGTGTAAAAGAATGAATGATCATTAAACATTCCTTTTTTTCATTTTCATTCATTGTACAAGGATGTTCGTTGTGACAATTCTAAATGGGCTTAGAACATATATTCCTTACATTACCCCTATTACCTTACCAACTTAACCCATCCCTGCCCCACTTAAATCAATTGCAAGAGATTTCTCCCAAAGATAAATGTATACAAAAACAAATAGAATCATATATACATTAATATATTGAACGTTTTTGTAAAAGTGAAACTTTTCTTTGGAACTTGAGCTAGGAGGGAAAGCAAAAGAGTCATAGTAAAAAAAAGTACATTAAGCCATTCTTGTGATTGAAGTTCATCAATAAACTTGTAACATCAATAGTGATTCATGCCAAGTGAAGTAACCCATGCCTCTCACATCAGCAACTCAGGAGAATGAACCAAGTGGATCAATAGTGCCAACTGTAATCTGCCACATTCTCACCAGGTTGCCTGCATAGCTATGAGTTTGGTCATCAGCAGATCAAGCCACAGAGGTGCATTTGTGTGGCCCTGCCTTGCTGGTAGTGCTGACTTCTTGCTTCAGTTCATCTACAATGAACTCTCCCTCCAAGTCCCAGATCACCAGATCATGATGCTGGGGCCTGTGGCAGCATGGAGCTAGTAGTGGTTGGGGCTCACACACAGACTGCTGATAATATCCCCACCATCTCGTGTATAAAGGAGTTTGCCTTCATTGAAGTTCTACAAGATGCTATCAGAAGCACAGAGGGATCCATCTAGAGAGAGAGCCATAGTCTTCCTTCCTCTCTTTCTCCCTCCCTTCCTTCCTGCTGAAAGTCCTGTGGACAGAACCCAGGGCCTCAGGCATGTTAGATAAGTTACCTTCCACTGAGCTATACCTCAGACATAGACTTCATTTTGTAAACAATTTACACCATCAGAAAGAAGATAAAGCCCCCAACACAAAAACCTTTTCAGGACATATTTAAACCCTGTTCAAACCATTGAAATGCTCAATTATGATAACTTATTTGAGGTGCTTGAATCCAAAATAAAGACACAGAGATGGTTGCCTCTAGGCTGCTTCATTTATTTTAACTTTCTCTTCTTTTTTCTAAAGGTGTTTTGGTACATGGAACCAAAAAATTTAACAGGTATCTTGGAATTGCAATACTTGAGATTCTCTGATGATCCAGAACAGCAGCACCTCTTCTTTGTGCTATTTCTGATTATGTATTTGGTCTCAGTGCTCAGCAATCTGCTCAACATCTTGGTTATCAGCTCTGACTCACACCTGCACGACCCCAGCTACTTCTTTTGCTACAACCTGTCCTTGACTGACATTGGATTCAGCAGTTGTACAATCCCCAATGTGCTGGTGAACATCCAGAAACATAACAAATCCATCACTTATGCAGGCTGCCTAACTCAGGTGTTCTGGGTTTTTTTTCCGTTTTCAATGTTTGGACAGTCTACTGCTCTCTGTAATGTCCTATGATTGTTTGGTGGCTATTTGTTACTCTTTACAATACCCAGTCACCATGAACCCCTGCCTGTGTGGCTTGTTGGTCCTGGTTTTGTTTTCCATCAGTCCTTTGGACTCCCAGCTGCACTGCTTAATAGTATCACAAGTTACCTTCTGCCCAGTTACTGAAATCTCTAATTTCAATTGTGACCCACCTCAACTCCTTAAAATTGCCTGTGACTATATCTCTATTAATAACATATTGATCTATTTTATAGGTGAAATCTTTGGTGGTGTTCCAGTCTCAGGATTCTTTATTCTTATATAATAATAATTTCCTTTATTCTGAGAGTCCCATTATCATGTGGGAAATACAAAGCTTTCTCTATCTGTGGTTCTCACTTGTCAGTTGTATGTGTGATTTATGGAACAGCCTTTGGAGCATACTTCAGTTCACTTGTCTCACATGCTAATAGGAATGTTACGGTAGCCTCAGTGATGTACAACATGGGTCCACCCATGCTGAACCCCTTTGTCTACAGTTTGAGGAATGGGGAGAAAAAGAATGTACTTTGGAAGGTCCTCTCCAATACAGGCCAACATCAGGAGCTGGGCCACATGTTTTGGTCTCTTTAATAGAATATACTGTGAAATCAATGATGTAGAATTGTAAATCATGCCTCTTTCATCCCATTAATTTTTTAGTTCCAATAGATTTTATTCCTTTTGATGTATCATGTCTAAGCATTTTTGTATTTGGCACTGCTATAGTTTAGACATATGAAATAAAGACAGAAAGAAAAGGAACACTGCCTAATTCATTTTATAAAGTGAGGAATATACTCACCACAAAACTGGTGAAGGTCACATACAAAAGGAAAACTACAGGCCAATCTCCTTTATGAACATTGATTCAAAAATCAATAAAATAATGGCAAATCAAATCTAACAACATATTGGAAAAATCATACACCATCCCCAAGTTGGCTTTATCACAGGGATGCAGGGATGGTTCAAAACACACAAATCATTAAATATAATACAGCACATTAACAGAAGCAAAGAGGAAAACCACTTGATCATTTCAACAGAAGCAGAAAAAGCCTTCAATAATATTCAACATCATTTCATGATAAAAGCTCTGATGAAACTAGAATAGAAGGAATATACTTCAACATAATAAAGGCTAACCTATAGCTAACATCGTACTTAAACATGAAAAAACTGAAACCATTTTCCCTCATGTCAGGAATGAGACAATGGTGCCCACTCTCCCCACTCCTATTTCTAGCCAGTGCAGTAAGGCAAGAACTAATAAAGGAATACAAATATGTAAAGAAGTAGTTAAACTATCCCTATTCATAGATGACATCATCTCATACCTAACAGACCTGAAACGCTCCACCCCAAAATGTCTACACAATATAAAAAATGTCAGCACAACAGCAGGATTCAAAATAAACATACAGAAATCAGTCACATATTAAAAAGGATTTAGGACAACAATTCCATTTACAAAACCTAAAAGAAAAATCGAATTTGTAGGAATAAACTTAACAAAGGTGGTAAATGACCTCAATGAGGAAAACTACAAAGCACTGAAGAAAGAAATCAAAGAATATAACAGAAGATGGAAAGATCTCCCATATTCATGGATGGGAAGAAACAACATAGTAAAAATGGCTATTCTACCAAAACAATCTACATGTTCAATGCAATTTCCCTCAGAGCCCAATTACATTCATTGCAAAGATTGAAAAATCAACCCTAAAGTTCATTTGGAAACACAAAAGACCAGGAATAGCCAAGGCAGGACTGAGCAAAAAAGAGTAATGCTGGGGGTTTCAGACTTCAAACTATACCCCAGAACCATAGCAATAAAAACAGCATGATATTTGCAAACTACTGATATGAAGACCAGTGGAACAGAATAGTATCCAGATAGAGTGTCCTAATTTTGACAAAATTTCCAAAAATGTATGATGGAAAAAGACAGCCTCTTCAACAAATGTTGCTTGGAAAACTGGATATCTGCCTCCAGCAAACTGAAACTAGATCCATGCCTGTTGCTCTGTTACATGTATCAACTCAAATATATTAAGGACCTTAATGTAAGACATGAAGATTTGATGCTAGTACAATAAAGATCATGGAATACACTGGAAGCAATAGGCATAGGAAAGGATCTCTTCAGTAGAACTCAAGCAGTCCATAGACAGGATTGACAAAAGGCACTACATGAAATTAAAAGGCTTCTGTACAACAAAAGAAATGGTTTCTAAATTGAAGAGACCACCCACAGAATGGGACAAAATCTTTGCTACTTATTCTTCAGACAAGGGAAAGGTAACCAGAATATACAAGGAGAACAAAACATTAAACTCTCCAAAATTCAATGACCCAATAAAAAATGGACTATAAAACACATGAAATAATGCTCACCATCCATGGCCATAAAGGAAATGCAAATCAAAACCACATTAAGATTCTACCTCACTCCAATTTGAATAGCTACCTGAAGTGCACCACCAGCCATAAATGTTGGTGAGGATGTTGGGAGAAAGGAATCCTGATACACTGCTGATGGGAATGTAAGCTAGTATGACTACTAAAGAAACTAATATGGATGATCTTTAAAAAACTAAAACTAGATCTGTCATACAATCCAGCACTACCACTCCTAGGGATATATCCAAAGGAATATGAATCAGGTAACAACAAACGTACCTGCACATACATGTTTATTGCAGCACTATTCACAAGAGCTAAGCTATGGATATGGCCAAGGTGCCCTATTGCTGATAAACAGATTAAGAAAATGTGGTATTTTTACACATTGGGATTGTTGTCAGTCACAAAGAATGAAATTTAGTCATTCACAGGTAAATAGATGGAACTAGAGACCATCATCTTAAGTGAAGTTAGTCAGTCTCAGATGGCCAAAAGTCTCATGGTCTCCCTCATATGCAGATTATAGACTTAAAACAAATGCAGCAATATTATGGGATATGGGTCACACTGATGGGAGCCATGATGTGAAGAATAGGGCAAGATATGGAAACAAAACACTTGGATGTGGTTGATGTGCTCACTGTACAGGGATAAATTTAGAAATCTTAAACTGACCAGGGCCACAATGGGAAGGAGACTAGGGAGGAATGAAGAGGAATGGTAGAGATGAACAAAATGGGGCTGTAATACATACATGCATAGAAACAACACAAGTAATATCGCTGTGTACCTATCTTTTTCTCAAACTACCAAAGCTGCCATATTTCTCTTATTATTTTATGTTTTTGTCTTCTACAAAATTGGAGAACAGGAGGGTTGAATATGTTCTGCCTGGAGATGGGGTATTGGCACTGATCTTAGGTAGGAGGATAACTATCATGCAAATAATTTGTAGAAATGTATGTAAATGCAAAAAGGATACCTGTTGAAACTGTTCTAGTAATCAGGAGAGGGAGGATGAAAGAGCAGTGGAGGAGGTGAATTCAAAAATGATATATTTGTACATTGTGAGAATCATTCATTCAGTCATTCATTCATTATAAGTATATATTAATTGTGCAAAGGGGTATCAGTGTGGTATTTCAATACACATATAAGATATGTGATTAAATTACCACCTATTCCTCTTTCTTGGCCCCTCTGTCCCACTTTGTCAGTAATTTTCATTGTATAGTTTGCATTATGCATATCTCCAAAAAATTCATGTGTTGAAAACTTGGTCTATGTCTTGTGACACTGTTAGCAAGAGGTGGAGATTTTAGAACATGGTGCCTTGTTGGAGGAATTTGTGTTGTATATGGAGTGCCCTTAAAGTAAGGCAGGCTAACAATAGTCGTTTGGGACTTTGACCTGCCCAGCACCATTTGACCTGGCTTTTCCAAACAAATTTCATTCTAAACCACTTTCCTCAGTCAATTATTATCTTTTGCAATTATAAATGATAATGATTGTAAGACAAAAAGCCTTGTGTCAATAACTACCTGCCCACAGTAACCTAAAAGCCTTCTACTTAAGTCATGAATATTGATTGCATCTCAGGCATGTAATTAAATACCTAATAGCTACCTCAAGTGCATGCACAGAGTGAATCAAACCTGTCAATTACCCTATCATGTACCACATGGACAGCCCAGTTTCTTCCAGCCATTTCTCCTTTTAATTTATAAAAAGCCTTATAAATAAAGACACACATTTCTAACCCACCTGGTCAGGGCCATCACTGCTTTCTCTGTGATAACGTGAATTCACTTTTAATAAACTACTACATTTCCATGTCATGCTTGGATTCTTTCTATGTGTAATGTAAGAACCTGAGAATTCTCTTAATAGCATTTCCCAGAGACTACCCTTATGGCAGCATGTGGATTTGTATTCTTTATATATGTGTTTGTATACCATTATTGTCTTTGTAAGAATGGATAAAATATGTTTTAAATGCATATTAAAACAGCATTCACATTTTAGTGTGTGTTATGTATTTATCAGATGCTAATATGCCATGTTATATAATTTATTACATTATATTATGTTATATTGTGTTATGTTATTATGTATCTTCCTAGTGACAATTATTATCATCAGAGGTGAGGAAACCGAGACTCTAACGTGAATCATATGTGCACACATACAGACACACACACACACACACACACACACTTCACAAAACAGAACATGTTTCGAAAGTTACACTGGGACCAAATAGAAAAAGTAGGATTCAAACTCAGAACTTAGACTTTGAGCCATATTCTTACCAAATAGATTCAACAGCCTTTAATATGGATTTTGATGTGGATGTCTCTGTTGTGAATTTTACTGGATATTGACTGCATTTCTGGTTATCCTTTATTATTGGATATTTTATTGTATTTCCTTTTACTTTTAAAATTACATGCAGTAAAATCTTTTCATCAGTGCAATAAAGTAAGAGTAGACATAATCTGATATTTCTAGTCTAAAACATTTAAGAGAAAGCACATTGTTCTTTTATTTCTTTATTCATATGTGTAAACATTGTTTGGGCCATTTCTCCCCATACCTCCTACCCCCTTTCTTCCCCCGCCTTGCTTCCAGGCAGAACCTGTTCTGCCCTCTTCTCCAATTTTGTTGAAGTGAAGACATAAGCAATAATAAGAAAGACATAGTGTTTTTGCAAGTTTGAGATAAGGACAGCTATACAAACAATGTCCTAGCATTGCTTCCATGCATATGTGTATTACAACCCAAATTGATTCATTTCTACCTGACCTCTTCACTACTTCCTGGTCAACTTCTCATAGGGACCTCTGTCATTTTACTGTACTTATCTTAGCTCTTTTGCTGTGGGCACAAAAAACACTTTCAAGTTTTTGGTTTCTTACCTTTCCCTATTCCTCCTGTATGTGTCCTTTCCTTAGTGTGTGACCCACATATAATAATATTATTGCATTTCTTTTAGGTCTAAAGTCCACATATGAGGGAAAACATATGATTTTTGACTTTCTGAGCCTCACTAGCATTACTAAAGATTATGTTCTTCAGTTCAATCTATTTACCTGCAAATGATAAGATTTCATACTTCTTCATGGCTGAGTAAAATTCCATTATGTACAGATACCACATTTATTTAATTCATTCATCAGTGGTGG